TAGACATGTGCCTTCTGTCCTCAAACGCTGGGGCTGGAGGTGCCCATCTAGCCCTCGGGCCCTTCGTGGTGTGTTTAAATATGGCAAACAGGATTGCATTTAACCGGACCCTTCGTGTCTATGTTGTCACACTGCCTTTTCCCTGTGGCGAAGCCTTGCTGACGCATCCGTTGCCATGTGTTTTGGTCACTTCCTCACATTTATACCGAAAAGCCTGTGCCGTCCGAGGACACATGGAAGTGCTCCGCCCCAGTGAACGGCAGCCTCCAGGCCAAGCACACTGTCCGCCCGGGACTTGCAATTCCCCGCAGACTAGACAGAGTGAAGGGAGGAGCTGGGGTGTTGCCATCTAGCTCCTTCGCGCAGTCACAGGAGGAGCTGGGGTGTCACCCAGCTTTCCCCACAGCCAGGGCTCCGCTCAGCACCACCCTGACATATGGCCGTCCACCCGAGGACATGCTTGCTGCCCCGGGCGGCTCCCCATCGGGGCTGGGGCAGCTCCAGGAAGCAGACTCTGTGGCCACAAATAAACAAACAAAAACCTGCTCTACTCTAAAGACCAGCTCCTGGGCTGAACAGCAGCAGTGTTTCATTGTTTAATCCTAAACCACCCCCAGGAAAGAAATTCCTGGTGGTGGGCATCCTTTCTTCCTTTGTGTTTCCATATCCTGGGTTTCGTAAAGCACGGCCTATACTTGCTGGAACCATTTTTCATACACTGGGACCGAAGAATATTAATCCAAATCAGACCCAACAATATGGCGTGGGATCTACTAAATGCGACATGAAGTGTCCCAAGTGTTGCGTGTGTGGTGGGTCCATGTAGATCAGGCCAGATCCCGTGTGTTGGGACCTTGCGTCCATGAAGAGCGCATGCCTGAAGCCCGGGGTGGCCTCAGTGGCTATGGGTGTCTGGTGAGCGGCATCAGCTCCCCTGCTACGGAGAAATAGCCCCATCTAGTGGCCAGCAGGGTCCTACACCGCCTGAGTCCAAACTTCTCAGTAATGAAGGGACCTGTCCTATTCCTTCCCCAAGCAGCCTGTGTGCTATCGGCTGGGAGAACCCAGGACAAAACAGCTGCACCCTATACCCGTGTCTGGGACACTCAGGGCATAACAAAGGCTCTGAGAAGTCCTGCAGAAGCGAGAGCTGTTTAACCATGTTTCCCCAAACTTCTTTGACCACAGAACACTCCCGCCCATTATGTGGATGTGAATGTATGCGTGTCTGTCTCTGTGTGAAAAACAGCCACTAATATTCCTTAGAACTTAAATTCTTGCATGCACTCTGGGAAATGCAGCTCTGACTTCTCAGTAACTTGCTTGGCTCTAAGAGCTGTGAGGAACTGGAACATCCGATGGGCACATTTGGATGAGTAGAAAGAAGAAGAAATCTCTAAGGCAGGGGAGCATTTGTTTTGAGGAGGGAGGCCTTGTTGACACCCCTCGGGTGAGATGAGAAGGGGGGCTCAGGGTTAGGGTGCTGAGGTTTGAGGTGCAGGAAGACACCTAAGAGGGGGAGCCCCGAGATGAAGCTGAGGCGACCACCAAAGTCGTCTGATGATTTTCTCAGGACCTGAAATTGTGGCTGCAAGTCCGAGAGCCAGTGGGTTCCCGAGACTGGGAAGAGCAGCCTCATTTCGGCAGCTGCTGCCTCAGGGAGCCCGTGGTGCCCCGGGGGCCCCTGGGGCTCAGAGGACCTCCATGCCCTACTGCTCCTGACCCTGACCTCTCAGGGACCAAGGGGGCTCCCGAGACCTCCGAGATGGTCAGGGGGCCTAGCGCCTCCCTAGGATTTGTCCGAATATTGGGTCCTAGTCCCCGTCTCCTGACCAGGTCCCAAGTGGATTCACCTGTCTGTCCTCACACCCTGCACCGGCTAGAGAAACCCGACTCGCGGAGGGCCCCACACCACATTCCTGATGGAGAAGGTGCCCCCGGGTGTGGACTGAATGGGCCTGATGCTGGAGATTCACCCCACACTGCTCAGTGTACAAGGAAGGGCCTAACTTCCGCGGGGAACAAACACCGGGGTCTTGCTTCTGAAGCATGACCTGGTCTTCAGGCTGGAAAAAACCCGAATCTTTACATCGACGAGGCTATGAACCACCGTGCTGGATTAGGCAGGGTTTTCTCTGGCCATCAAGATAGACTCCAACTATTCGTGTCTTTCAAGCTAAGAATTTGCCCAAACTTTAAGAATGTTCTTTTGCATCTTTGCAGAACAGTTAGAGTGGCCCACTTCCCAGCGTTGCCATCCTGACCTGGGACTAGACCAGTGATGGCGAACCTTTTGAGCTCGGCGTGTCAGCATTTTGAAAAACCCTAACTTAACTCTGGTGCCGTGTCACATATAGAAATTTTTTGATATTTGCAACCATAGTAAAACAAAGACTTATATTTTTTATAAGACTTATATTTTTGATATTTATTTTATATATTTAAATGCCATTTAACAAAGAAAAATCAACCAAAAAAATGAGTTCGCCTGTCACCTCTGACACGCATGTCATAGGTTCGCCATCACTGGACCAGACGCTTTCCCCAGGATGACAGCCATCTGTGTGCCGCTGTTTGCCCGCTGGGGCCTGGGAGACGTGTTCTGAGCAGCACTAGGCTGCACCCAGAGCCCCATTAATCCTCGGAAGCCACATAACGGGAGAGGAAGGTGTTTGCAGGCCGGGCCTCCCCGATGTGCACTCCCCACCCCCCCACCAGCACTGGCAGCAGCTGCCACGGTGCCCGAGGGCCATCTTTTTCTCAAGGCACAAGGAGGTAACGATGTGAAAGGGGGGCAGCTGATGGCTCCAGCCCAGTGAGCTGCAGAAAGAGGCCTAAATGCCCCCCAGGTCCCCTGCCACTGTCCACTCCTGGGACCTCACCAGGTAGCCCAGACCCTCAGCGGAGATCTGCCCCTTCATTCTGGTAAAATGTGTTTCTCGTTGAAACTGAACCCACAGTTACAAAGCTATACACCTGAGCTTTTCATACCTTCATGGTTGATGTTCTGTAGCAGGAAGTGAGGGTTAAGCAAGATCACACATTACCCTGTCCTTCCTCGAATTCCCGAAGCTGCTGACTGCTCACGGAAGCCTGGCCTTCACGCACTGACCATTAGCGTTGGTGTTTAAGGCAGGAGCCAGCTTGCCCTGCCTGTGCCCGAGGGGAGGCCCCGAGATTCAAACACTGACCCGTGAAAGCCACACCCAGTTCTCTGAGTGAACAGGCCTCTCTGGAACTGAATCTGGCCAAGTACATGCTGTTAGCTAAACAGGGATTCCCTTATCGGGATTCTCCTCAGGCTCGTTCACAAATGGGTCTAGGACTTTTCTGTTGGGGGTTATTATAGAGTGAGCTATGTTAATGCACATATTTCATACGATTTGCTGTGCAGGTTTCAAAATTCATTTAAGTATAATACTACTGAATCTTCCATCCGGCCACTTGGCATCTTTCATACTTTCCAAGACTCCTGAAAAACAACTCTGTCCTCCCATACCCCGAACCATCTGCCCTAACTTCCAGTTTCCCTCTAGGCCAGGGGTCCTCAAACTTTTTAAACAGGGGGCCAGTTCACTGTCCCTCAGACCGTTGGAGGGCCGGACTATAGTTTAAAAAAAAACTATGAACAAATTCCTATGCACACTGCACATATCTTATTTTGAAGTAACAAAACAAAACGGGAACAAATGCAATATTTGTATTTGCATGTGGCCCGCGGGCCGTAGTTTGAGGACCCCTGCTCTAGGCCCTCCGTCCGATGAAAACCAGGAACCAGAAACACACAAGGAAGACAGCACACGCCTTCACTTGGGCGGTGCCTGATGTCCTCTGGGCCTGTCCACCTTTTTAAAAATTAGTTCCTAAACAGTGAGGCCATCCTGACCCCTGAACAAGAAGCTCCCCATGGCCCAAGGTGATGCCCGTATGAGGGCAGGCCGCCTCTGACACCCCGGTCCTGCCTCCCTCCAGCCAGTACTGTGCCCTGCTCCAGCTCTCAGACAGGGCAGGTTAGAAGCCAAGCACTAGCCCTGGCTGGTGTTGCTCAGTGGATAGAGCATCGGCCTGCGGACTGAAGGGTCCCGGGTTCGATTCCGGTCAGAGGCACATGCCTGGATTGCGGGCTCGATCCCCAGTGGGGGGCGTGTGGGAGGCAGCCGATCAGTGACTCTCTCATTATTGATGTTTCTCTCTCTCTCTCCCACTCCTTTCCTCTCTGAAATCAATAAAAATATATTTTTTAAAAAAAGGATAGCCCTAGTGGCATTTCCATACATAAAAAAAAAAAAGCCGAGCACTCAAATGGGTTTTTCTTTTTCTCACCAATAGCAATAATGGCTGGTGCTGGTTGAGTGCCCACCCGGCATTCTTCCATGGAATATGCATCGTCTCATTGACCCCGCACACCCCCTGCATTAGATACTATTGCTATTTTTATTCTCACTTCACAATGAGGAAACTGAGGCACAGGGGAGACTGAGGTGGCAGGGAACATAGCACTCTACAGAAGTCTATTAATACTTTCCAAGTACAATTCGTATTTTTCTGTATTTGGTAAGATTTCTTTACTATAATGTTCATAAATGTTTAGGCAAAACATTTACCAGCCTATCAGGATGGGCTCTGGGGGTGCCTCAGATGCAGGGGGGTCCTGGAAGCCCCCCTATATTATGGGCTAAACTTTTGGATGCTGGGCCATGAGGGGATTCTCAGGGAAGGGGCCAGGGCAGTCGGGTGGGAAGCTGTTTACCTCCTGTTACAGGAGGACCTCAGCATTTTCATTGTTAAATAAGTATAGCAGTTTACATGTGATTAGCCATCGACTATGTCACTGAAATCGCTGATGAAAATAACCGGGCTGGCCGGCCTGCTGTCACCAACAGTCCCCTCCCACCCCGGCCCGGCCCCAGCCCGCGTACCTTGCTGGCAGTGCAGGCCCTCGAAGCCCAGGGGGCAGTCACACTCGTAGCCCTCCTCCCGGGGCCGGCAGCTGCCCCCGTGGGGCACAGGGGCCCGCCACGCACGGGTGGGCGGCGTTGTCCACGTTCACGCCGCGGGTGAAGTCGTGCCTGACGTGGATGGCGCGGTCGTTCAGGGTGATCTGGGAGAGGAAGCGTAGACAGTCAGGGGCCCGGGAAACACTGGGCGGTGTGTGAAGGGTCCCTCGGCCACTGACCCAGACACGCGCAGCGAGAGCTTCGGGCAGAGGACAAGGGCCGGTAGCGGCCTTCGTAGTCCTCAGTGACATGACGCGGGAACCGGGCGCGTGGGGGCTGTGCTGTGGTCTGTGCTGGGGTCTGGAAGGCCTGGTGGCTCGGAGCTCAAAGACAAGGCCCAGTCCCTACGAAGCGGGGTCCCCACCCGGCTGCCTCTCAGAATCGCCGGGGACTTTTAGGAAATAATTAACACCCAGGTCCACCCAGATATCTGAGTGAGAATCTCTGAGGGTGCGACCAGTCATCAGTAACCTGTCCAGGCTTCCTGGAGGTCCTGAGATGCAGCTGAGGCTGAGACAGGGAAGAATCCAGAACAAAGAACCGACACGGCGGGCTTTCTCGGCCTGGACCTGCTCATGTTTGCCCTGGACAAATGTCCCTGGGGGTACCTGGCCTCCAGGCTCTAGCCAGTGGGGCCCCCTGGGGCCCTCCCCATGGTCCCACCCACTCTCTCTTTTTTTTAAATCTTTACCCAAGGAGATGTGCTATTGATTTTTAGAAAGAGATGAAGGGAGAGAGAGAAAGAGAAAAGAACATCGAAGTGAGGATGTGAGAGGGAAACATCAATTGGTTGCCTCCTGTATGCACCTGACCAGGGATCAAAACCGTATTCTAGGTATGTGCCCTGTTCAGGAATCGAACCTGTGACCTTTTGGTGTACAGGACGACGCTCCAACTAACGGAACCAACCAGCCAGGGCCCCCCAGCTCTTGCTGGCCTCCTTCCCGGACACTCTTGAATTCCCTTTCCTTCTACAACCACTTCCTCATCATTAAAGAAAAAGAGAGGAACTCAGCTCACATTCCCACCACTGCTGGGCATGCTCACTGGAGCCAGAGCGCTCCAGGCCCCACCCCCTTTTCCCTGCAGGGGGCTCTGGAGAAAGAGGAATTCTAGGAATAGCTTACTGGGCTCCCACCCCAAATACATACACCCATTGTTGCCAGCCCTTGACTCAGACTGTGTATCTACCTGAGCTGTTGGTGTTCCATGTGGGGGAGGCTTTGCAGAACTCAGGGAGAAAAAGTGCCCCAGGAGAACCTGCCCTGCAGGGGGTCCAAGCAGCTAGCAATGGCATTTCCGGCCACTAATCCCATTTCCATAGGCTGGCCTGGTCCTTGGAACAGTGTCGGGGGAGCTGGTAGCAAACTTTCCTCAGTCCTGAATCTCAGAAGCTGCTAGAGAGCAGCCAGAATCTCTCCATAACCTCCCCCTTTTCATGCCGTGAGTGAAGGGCTGTGAAACTGTCACCGTAGCTGAGACAAGCCATTCACCACACCATTCACCGCACCGCAGGATACGGCACAGCCAAGGCTTTGGCCAGGACCTGGGAGGGGAGGGGGCCTTCCCCGGAGTGGACAGGAAAGGGCTGTGTGTGCTGTGCCCGGGAGGGGGCCTGCGAGGGCGGGGAGCAGGGGAACCCTCTTAGCACCTCAGCTTGCTTCCCAAGTGAGAATTCCAAACACAAGATTAAACAAGGCCAAACCCACTCAGGGGGTAAGAGGGGGAATAATGGTCTGATTTGAAGTGTCACTGCCACCACCGTTTGCAACAAAGGGAAACACATAGGAGTCAGCAAATAGTGCCTGGACCCCACACGGGACACCCAGAAAGGCTGAACCCAGGGGTCCTTCCCAGCTCCCAGGAGCAAATCCTGGTAAGACCTTCCTTCCCTGGGCCTCCCCACCTCAGGTTTGAAAGGGTCAATGGCCCACCGCCACCCCTGGTGGCCGAAGAAAACCTGGATGACGCTAACACCCAGGAACCCAGCATGCTTCCCTTCAGGTCCCTGTCCCCCAGGGTTTGGGGGCCTGGAGACCTGGCAGGTGAGTCGCCCTGCATGTCTGCTGCAGACAGAACTCCCTCTTCTCCTACCCGAGAGTCATGGCAGGGCAGCCCCCGGGGAAGGAGGAAGAGATGAAGATGAGTGGGGTCCGTGCCCCGTGTCTGTCACTAGCTGAGCGGTTTCCTCCTGCACCTTCTATGGAAGGACACTAAGCTACGCTCTTGAGAACTGGGTTACGTGACTGATGAACCATTGCTAAAGTGGGGGGTGGGGAGGGGCAACAAGAGTTGGTTCTTGCCTTCAGCAATCTGCCCGGTAAGCTACAGAGAAGCGTGGAGCCAAGAGTTGCTATTAGACCCATTCACCTCCTTCCCTTTCGTGGAAGCTTTGGAAGCGACCTGGGGCCAGTCCCAGGATATGTTTGTGGATTTGCTGGAAAAATGCATCTTCCTCGAATTGCGTTCATGCTATGTCTGCTGGGCACAGACCCAGGAGCGGACTGAGACTTTATAAGACGTGGGGTTGGAAAGCTTGCTGTGAACATTCACAAATGAAATCTTAAACGTGTCAAACTCTCTCAAAATGTCCCTGGGTGCAGCGGGTTGAGCATTGGTCACAGTTCTCACTCCCACTGTCTGGAGTCAAGGTCACACAACAACCAGGAGCAAGCGAGCCCGTCCGTACCTTCTGGATGCTCCCGCTGAAGGGCCTGAGGATGCCCGACTTGTTCTTCACCGCGTCGTAACTGGGGACTCCGCCAATAAAGATGTCCGTGTTGCAATTAATCTGTGTGAAGCCGCCCTGCCAACAGGTGAAACACAAAGCATGGTGTAACGTTGAGAAAAGATGCTCAAGACTAGCACATGCGCTCTCGGGTCCCCTGGAGACCCATCAGGACAATCTGTCTTCATGTTGGTCTGACACTCACAGTGCTTTGCGTGGCCCCTCACCACCTCTTTGGATGTTTGTAAATTTCATAGCCTCTCTGAGACTCAGGTTCACCATCTACAAAAGGGGAACCGCAGTGTCTACCTCACGGATGCGGATGCGTCACAGCAAAGGGGTGGATGCTCAGCCAGCAGGACCCTGCCCCCCCCCACACACACACAGGTTGACGGCCTCCACCCTGTCCGTCTCACGTGGGGCACACAGCCTGCGATCTCAGTGAAACGGGAGCAAGAGAGACATAGACCACTGCTGGGCATGAGCCTTCGGAGCCTGGGAGTGGCTCGCCCTGCCTCGTCCCTACCCCCGGTGCCTCCAATCTGGGTCTCAGACGGAAGCTGCCGCTGGCCATGGATGGACATGGAACGTGAGTGGGAAGTGGACCCTGTGATGAGCCGCTGGTACCTGGGGCTGTGTGTGACTGGCTGGGCACAGTCTCGCCCCTCCTGGCACTGAGCTGGACACACACCCCTCACTCAGCATGGCCGGCTATTGTTATATTCAGGCGCCACAACTCTGCCTTCATCAGATCACAGACTGAATTGTCTCTGTTGCTAACCTTCAGGCCGTTTGGGATTCTTCTAATTCCCAGGGAGGTTCGGGACACCTCTTCTCCCCCTGCTGTTCCCGAGGTGGTCCCCAGACACGTGTGTCTTTTCTTCTCTCCTCCTCCACCAATACCTCTGTCCCCACCCAAAGTCTCTTTTCCTTCCTTTTCTTTTTTTCTGCCAGTCCATTTTCTCACCAGAACACCCACATTCACCATTGCCCTCTTTAAATCTTGCAATGCACAAAATAAAGTCAAACATTTTTTTAGGCATCTGTACATTTTTGGGGTGTGCAGAATCCTAGTAGGCTATAGCTTAAAGCAAATCTCTCCTATCTCTTCTTAAAAATGACATTTTCCTTCGGATATATCCTTGGAAATGAAATCAAGTTGTAAACTTGAGTAGAAATTCAGGCCATGAAAGTACAATATAAAAACTACTAATAAGTAAAGCTAAACAGTGCTGACCCTATGCCAGGGACTGTTGTGTGTGACATATATCATTATTCTAATTTGCACAACTCCATGAGGTAGGACTATTATTACCCCCCATTATATAGATGAGAAAACACAAACTCAGAGTCTCAGTTCACATTATTGGTAGGTAAGGGGAGCCAGATTTTGAACCCCGAAGTCTGGTTTCAGAGCCTACTGACTACACGCCCACAGGAACAAAGGGGGCAGCCGGCAATGCTTCAGGTGCTGCACTTGTATTCGCTCACTGAATCCGTGAGCTGCCCTGTGAGGCGTCTACTGCTACTGTCCGCGCTCACAGCTGAAGAAGAGAAAAGTTAAGTAACTTGCCAGGTTGGAGGCTCGGGTGTAGCCCAGGCAGCCTGGCCCTGGCGTCCATGTGCTTCGCCACTTTGTCACCAGAAAGGAAACAGCCCCCACACACCATCAGGAGCACGGGTGAGTCCTTACCTCCGCCATGCCCTCCACCACCTTCTGCTTATCCACCTGCAAGATGCCATTCTTGGCTGTTCGAGATACACGCAGCTCGTGCCAGCGGGCGAGGGCGAGGGGGTCTTCACTCCTGCGGAAGGAGGGAGACTGGGCGTGGGTTAGCATCCTCCGGGTTATGAATGCTGTTCATCGATCCGGCTCCGATGACACGGATGCCAACCTCAGCACCTCACGCTGCTCGGCAAAAAGAAAACGATCCTTCCTACTTAGTGTTCGCCCCACTTATCGGACCCCTTCACGGTAGGAACGTTGCATTCATTATCTTATTTATTCCTTACGGCGGGCCTGAGACGGGGTAGGAGGAGCCTTGTTTTCTAGATGAGGGGTGGCAGGAGGGTAAAATGTGATCATTGTGGCACACAAGCCTTGAAGAAGAAGAGTTATATGGGCTGTGGAGTAAAACAGAGATTCCTTGGTGTACTGATGTCTTGCAATAACCGCTGAAATACATAGAAAATAAGATGGATGGATGGATGGAGGATGAATGGGTGGATGGAAAAAAGTAAAGAAAGGAGGAAGGAAGGAAGGAAGGAAGGAAGGAAGGAAGGCAGGCAGGCTAGATGTGGGATAAAGCCAATATAACAAAGCATTAACTGTGGACCATAGGAGGTGGGTATGATGTTCACTGTACTCTCCTATCAACTTCTATGTTAGAGAGTTTTCGTAATAAAACGCTGGGGCAAGGACAGGTTGCGTGTTCTCTGAGATTGTGAACAGGATTAAAAGTAGTTTAAAAATTCAGTTTTAAATTCCAGGTGGAAGCACCTGAAGTTTAAATGAAGCTGGTCAGAGTCCTGCACATTGCTTTTTACAGGGCGGCGTACGAGGAGCATCCCCACGCGTCTGGATGTCTAGCGGCATGGTCCCTGGCCTCCGCTGCAGCTCCAGCTACTCTGGGGTCCCGGGCGATCGCCGGGAAGCCATCAGGAATACCAATGCGCCCCGTTACTGAAAGGTCGTCACCCCTTACTTGATTTTTCGCTCCGGCAAATGCTTTTGTGATTTGTCCTTCGCAATTAGGATTTAATCACCTTGGCTAAATCAATAGGCAATAAAGCACCCAGCGGCACTTCAGCTGGGCCCGTGTCCACACAGAGGAACGGCGCCTCGGTCCTGCTCTCACCCCGCAGAGGCCGTTTCCTGCAGATACGCCGCTCGCTCAGCCCGGCCATATCGATCACGGCCGTCACTGGCTCCTTACAATTGTCACCATTTTTGAATCCAGCTCATAATGAATTGGACCACCGCACCCTTTTCCTCAAGTGAAAACGCTGCGGCCCATTCCACAACCTCCTGTAGGTCAGGCTTTCACAGAATTTGCTTAACAGAGCAGGACGTCTTTGGAATGGGTTGTAACATAAATCTCTCCCAAAGGGGTGTCTGAAACCCCATCAGTGATCGCAGTGGTCGGTTTGCCCTGGAGCCTCCTCTTCATCACCCCAGAGCCTCAAGGATTTTGTTTCTAAGCACCTTTCCTGACAGGCAGGAAAACAATAACTTATTATTATTATTTTAATATATTTTTATTGATTTCAGAGAGAAAAGGAGAGAGAGAGAGACATTAATGATGAGCGAGCATCATTGATCAGCTGCCTCCTGCACGCTCCCTACTGGGATTTGAGCCTGCAACCTGAGTATGTGCTCTGACCAGGAATGGAACTGTGACCTCCTGGGTCATAGGTCGATGCTCAATCACTGAGCCATGCTGATCAGGCGAAATTATTATTTTTTAATTAAGAACTACTCTTGTCAAAAGTAGGCACAGATCCAGAGTCAACTAAAAAAAAAAAAAAAAGTAGGCACAGAATTAGGAAGAGCAAAGCTGGTCTTTTGAGGTCCCATGAATCTGACCCCCGCAACAGCTGCACTGCTGAGGTGCAGGGAGCAGTCTGTCCAGGAGGGGCGCTGATGAGCCACAACCCTCCCTGGCTCCTGCCAGTCATTCCTTATCCAGGATAGAGCCACTTTAAAGTACAAGGTGGTGTGCAAGGCGCCTTCCTTTCTCAACTTGACAAATAGTTCTTAGTGAACACTTAGACTGGTTGCATACTAATCATGTGTAAACTGAATCAATTAAATACCCACCAGAGTTGTCTTGAGACACCGGGGGGTGTGTTTGCAGAACCAGGGGTACAAGCACATCTGTCCGCCCCCGACGGTGGGAGGAGTCACTGATGGGCAGGGGTTCAGCCATAAGGGCAGAAACAAACTGGCCTTTTGAAGAATTGTGGAAATCCGATGCAGTGATTTCCCATCAGCCATGAAATATGACCAGCAGCTCAGGGCTACGCACGGCTGTAACATCTCACCCACATGCTCTTTCTGTAAAAATGACAGCCCAGCAAGATGAATGGGTCAACTATGACCTGCAATCACCTTCAAAACAACAGCAAGCTCACTGATTCCCTGCTGCGGGGCCGCTCGGAGGCAGGGCGTCCCGTGAGCCCCAGCAGAGAAGAGGTGGACACACGTGGGAACGAGACGCACGGCCTCCGGGTAGGAGGGAGAAACTGCCAGGGGAGGAACACTGTTAAGAGCGAGACACACACAAACAAGAAAAATGTTTGCACAGCCCGGGACTCACAGAGGTACTGACACGGCACTGAACCATCGATCTGAGTAAATTCACACCACAGACCAGGTAGCTGAGGGAAAGTTCTGACAACTCAGAACCCAATTCCGCAGACGCCAGCCAGCACTCGAGGCATCGATTTACCACCACGCGTGCTATTGAGCCTCCTCGAGCACACTGGTCAGAGGGGGGCCTTTGCACCTGCTGGGGACTCGTGTCAGAGCACGGGGAGCAGTGAAAGACTCGCTAAAGCGCAAGTCACCACTGAAGGAACGGCAACGAGGAAAGTCAAAATGCAAAGTGAAGCCACCAAGGACATTTCTGTTCATTAAATTTCTGTTAATAGTTTTTAAAAATCCATTTTAATTGATTTTTAGAGTGAGAGGAAGGGCGGGAGAAAGAGGGAGGAAGAGAGAGAAACATCGATGTGAGAGCACATCATCAATTGGATGCCTCCTGCACGCTCCCTACCAGGGAATTGAGCCCGCAACCTGGATATGTGCCCTGACTGGGAACCGAACTGGCAACCGTTTGGTGCATGGGATGAAGCTCAACCACCTGAGCCACACCGGCCAGGGCTCTGTTAGTACTGTTTTACTGGTCATCGTTTATTTGCTAAGCGCCCACCAAGTGAGGCTTGGGGCAACGTGCTGATTCATTACAACCCATCCCATCTCTGCTGAGGGCACGGTGTGACCCCACGTGGAGAGGAAGGCTGTCACCCTCCCCCTCCCCCGCTGAAGCAAGCCCGTTTTCCTTAGCTTCAAGCAGAGAATCGGCGCCTCTTGGGCAGCCATGTAAGAAAAGGGAGCCTTGCAGCAGGCCAGCACGATGGACAGGAAGCCTGCGATCCGTATTAGTCAGGAGAGGTTTCGGGAAGGAAAACTGCAGGGGAGACAGGGAATGACATGCACCTTTTCCCAGCGTGGCTGCAGTCTGGCTTTTCGGGGAAGGGAGCCCCTAAAGCTCTCAGCCCTTACCTGAGCACAGCAGTCCCGGAGCCACAGTCAAAGCGGAACTCCACGTGGCCCCCCGCCAGGTTGATGGACAGGAAGTCTCTGCTGCCCGTGTCGTGGCTGTACAGGAGGA